GCTTTGGTCGCCGCTCCAATATGTTTTGACCCTTAGGCGGTTACGGTTGAAAGCATATCAGTTTATCATATTTCTGGTAGGAACTTCTAAACTATTTCTAGGGTTTTACTAGAAGAGCAAGTTAAAGCCCCGGGAAAGTAAAATAATTAAGTTTCGCACGCGCTCCATTTCCCTTGTAAATGAAAATTAGCCTTCAGTTACAAACTAAAAAAAATTAATTTAAACACGCTGGGAAAATGAAATATTCGAAAACTCCTAGCCATATTTAGTTGTTAATTTCTTCCAACTAACCTGCAGCGATTCAATGTGCTTTGGCGTCACATATTCTTCCATACTCGCTGATCCAACTCCCACACCACCACCACCACCAGTACTACCATTACCGCTTCCATTCTCCGGCTGTTCCTCGATTCGCCCCTCCATAGATCCACCAAAGCGATGTATCATTTGCGCCATTCTCGCCGATGCGCTAAATTCTTTCGTCAGCGGTGAACCGCCTATCGTTGTGGCACGATGACGTGGACTTTGTGTAACCGAGCTACTCTCGGAACTATAATCGGCAGCATAATCGGTGCTCTCTTCAAGAAAATCACTTGGTGATTTACGACCAGCGCGATCCTTACTTTTCGCGCGACTCCAACGATGCTTCAGCGTATTGAAAAAGCCGTGCGTCTTATGGAAGACACCGCTGGCTCCCGAACCTGAACCGCCACCGCCACTGTGCGCTGTGGCGGCGCTTTTGGCACGTTTCGGTGATGTGCGTGGCGAGTCGCGTTCGTCGTGGCAGTCGTGTCCATTCAATTCCGATGCGGATTTACTTAAATGTCGGCCAAGTCGTTGTGTGAGCTGTGGCGAGCCATGTGGTGTGGCACCCTGTGATGCCTGGCCGCCGTTTTTAGTGTAATGCTGGGCGTATGGGCCGCCACCACCCACACTGCCACTTGGGAAATCGTCACTGTAATGGATACGTGCTGAAAGTAGATAAAAAGAGGAAAAGTGGAAAGATATAAATAAATTTGTTACATACATACATACATCAGCAGTTACATATATGTCGCGTGTATTCATTTTGTCTGCCTTGAAAGGATGCGCATTTTGCTGCCTTATTTCTTGCGAAATGGAAGCCTTGGTGGAAGAGGCAATAAATTTCGAAAGGGTTTTTACGGCTTCCTTCTAATCGACTAAAGAATCTTAGTAGGAAATGGAATCATATAAATTGGCAGGTAAACTGATAAGGTATTGGCGTACATTTGGATAAGTTGGATAGATAAGCAAAAAGTAAATTTCATTTGAGAAAAAAAAATCATTTTCTTATTAATAAGGATGGCATAGGAGTAATGTCATGTTATAAAAAAAGGTCTACATTTTTATGGGAGTTCTACCCAAAGGTAAAAAATGGAGGAGCTTAAGTGAGAAAAATATCTAATTCTGAAATGTTAATTTTCTGACTTCATGCATGTTTGACTTGGTTTGTAAAACTTTGAAGTTTTGCTTAAAAAATAACTTTGACTTTGCTTCAGGAAAATTGGAAATGAGTCGGATAAACAAAAACAATGATAAACTTTCAATCAATTCTCTGTCTCTGTAACATATCCATATATGCATGTATGAGCCCATGAGAACCAGATTAGAAAAATTATAAAAAAATTTTCCAATAGCCAAAATTTTAATTAATTGACTAATTATGAAGACGTGGAAGACTGTGAGGATAACGCTTAATTATTCCTTAGGAGGAAAAAGCTTCTTCACGTTTCGTAAACATTTGCGAGCAATCAGCTTCTTTTTCATCCCGATGAGACTGACTGACTTGTACTTAAATTAGTAAAATTAATAATTATCGATATCACGGAATTCTTTAGTCGCCTCAATGAGTTACATTTGAAATATAATAGGTTAAGGAATAGGTTGGAAAGCGCAATGTGACAACATTTACTGGTGTTAACCGCAATTTGTTTTGGAAATTCCAATCATTAATGGCATTAAAATTTGAATAGTAGCAAAGATTGGCCAACTGAAACGCCTATTAGCTCAGTTGAGTTCTTTGAATGTTCATTCAAATTATTGCGCGGCAACACAATTCAAACAGCACGGACTTCCTGCGACACTGGGCGAAAACCCCAACAAGCAAAGTTGCAAACTCCTTCTAGTTAGCAGGACGATCAAGGGCGGTTCTTCAGCTATCCAATCGCCAGCTTTGCTTTCTGACAGTAGTCCGTCCGTGCTTGGAATGTAAGCGGTATGACTTAATGTAGTTGTTGCGAACTCATATTGCAGTAGCTACTTGGGGCATGAGGCGGTCAAACAATTTCAGCTTTCAGGAATTAGGAACTTTCTGAAGTAGGCACTAGCTGATGGGGGAACTAATAACGTCCAACAAAATATCGATAACCACACCGATATAAATATCGATAAAAAATCGATGACGAATTCGATAAAAATTTCAATAGCAGCATCCATAATACCACTGGTAGCAAAATCGATAAATATCGATAAAAAATCGATAAAAAAATCGACCAATATCGATAACAAAATGGATAAATATCGATAAATTTCGATAAACAAATCGATAACACAAAATCGGTAAATATCGATAACAAAATCGATAATAAAGGCGATAAATATCTATAACAATGTCGGCCAACATCGATAACAAAATCTATACAAAATATCGCTATCAAAATAGTTAAAACAAGTAAGAGCAGCGCTGTCTTCGGCTATGCCGAAGGCTTCATACCTTTCATGAACATCTGCAAATTTTACTTTGACAGATTACTGCTTTTGAATACATCTGTATACATCGATAGAGGAGTTACATACTTATATAAAAAATCGCATCTAAACAATCAGAGGTATGGAAGATATACTTTATATGGCACCAATCTAAGTGATTTTCACTGCTATGTGATCGGTATGTAAACCGGTAACACAATTTATTGGGTTTAGTTTCCTACATAAAGGAGATATATGGCAAAAACCGGTATCTGAACAATCAGTGCTATAGGAGATAAAGCTTATACAGCATAGATTTTGATGATTTTCTCAGTAGACTTTGTATTATTATTTATAAAATATCTTACGAAATTTATCGGTTTTAGCTGTTCAAATGAAGAAGTTTTACAGTAAAATCCCATATCTGAACAATCAGATGTATGGAAGATATACGTTGTAATCATCCGCTCCTTGTTATTTTCACTGTAAGTATTCTGTTAATAATGAGTGAAAATGGTGCGAAATTTCATGTTCCTAGCTGCATAAATGGAGGAGTTATGATAAAAGACCTCATATCTGAACAATCAGTTGTATGGGGTCTGCAGGTTATAGTGGCCCGATCTTTGTTATTTTCACTGTAAGTCTTCTGTTGATATTGAGAGAAAACAGCGCGAAATTTCATGGTCCTAGCTACATAAATGGATGAATTATAACGAAAAATCTCATATCTGAACAATCAGTTGTATGGGAGCTA